ATCTTATTTTAATTATATCTTAGTATATATAGTAACTAGTAACAATAAAAATTATTATAATAAATAATAAAAAAAATATTTAAAAACTTTATTGATGTTTAAATAGTATTAGTTTTGTATACTTTTTTATGATTATTTCTTTAGACTTGATTATATTGGAAGGCTTGTCATAGAGATAAGCTTGTCTAGTTTGTCATCACACACATCAACATAATCGACGCATGCGTATTGCAATAAAATGTACAGACAAGGATAGATAGATGTTGAGGACAACGGCAAGTCAACTATGCCCCTTCCAGTATATATGTTCTAAGCATAAAAGCCAATGTCCACGATGCTAGAAATCGATCCGAGAAATGTAACCAATCAACTTGTATTTTTTATGAAAAAACGGCAATTTTATTGGCCATATGTTTCTCGGACCGATTTCTAGCATCGTGGACATTGGCCTTTAAGAGTATATAATGGAAATATCTATGAATATTTATTATAATTAAAATATTTACTCTTATAAAATATGAATATTACATTGTCTACGAAAGCATTAATTTTATGCATTTGAAAATGGATTTATGAAGACGCTCTGTGATTCGTTGATACCTGCACGAAGAATTTTTGCTCCATGTGACAGTAGCTAGTTCCTACTTGCAAAACGATAACTGCGAGTCAGCTGAGATTGGTCAACTCTGTTTGTGACGTCATTCCGCCGATCCGCAGTTCCAAAGCTCATGAAACTGCAACCTCATTCCTAATATTTTCTCTATTGTGCGTAGAATCTAATAGCGTTTTCGATTATACAGGATTTGAACGACCCAGGGTTGATCAATCACTATTTTACTATAAATGCAAGTCTTTCATTGGTGGAGAGGTTGCAATGACGTCATTAACCAACCCTGGGTCGTTCAAATCCTGTATAATCGAAAACGCTATAAAGGTACGTTCCACTTGGCGATCGCAACGCTTGTGGAATCATTTTATCTTTGTTTTTCATCGAAAGTTAAAGAAAGATAGATAATGTTCACGAGCGTTGCGATCACCAAGTGGAACTCAGCCTAAATAATGCATCAACGAGCAGCGTTTACTGAGCATTAATAAACGATTTTATTTCAAAACGAATATGTGTTAAGACCAATGTCCACGATGCTAGAAATTGGTTCGAGATCTCGGTCCAAGAAATGTATAACCAATCAACTTGCATTTTTTATGGAAAAACGAAAATTTTATTGGCTATATATTTCTCGGACCGATTTCTAGCATTGTGGTCATTGGCCTTTATAAAGGAAATGGTTTAGTTCTTGAAAATGGTTCAGTTCTAAAAGTAAAGGTCTGATAATAATGTAATATAAAATTAAATGTTGATTTTATCATTCTGAAAAAAATCATATTTTTAGAAAAATAATTCTACAATACTTGAAATAAATGAAAGTTTTTTATAGATATACTTGAATTTATCAAGCTATGTAACCCAGACAGCATGATGACCTCATATAATATTCCTAAAGAGTTCCAAAAATTTTTCTGAGTTGATAAATTTAGATCAGAAGGTGGTTAGAACGTGCTCATAATGTACTCGGATGCGTCGACTTCTGAGCTCATTTTGATTTCATCATAAAGAGCTTTTTATGCATATAACCTAGTAAACGAGAAATTATTGAAAGTTCAGAAATAGGATTAAAAATTACTGAGAAGAATTTATTTACGATGATGCTGAATTTTATTTAATTCTTCTCAATAATTTTCAATCCTATTTCTAAACTTTCAATAATTTCTCGTTTACTGGGAACAAATATACCTCAAAAAATTACATGTGAAAAATTGCGTCAGAGATCGTTGTACCAGGAACAATTTCACACACTGCGTGTTTTTTATGCACTGTGAGATTGCAAACTGCGAGACTTAGGGTGCGTTCGGGGAGACGCTATTAGCGCATTTAGCGCTATCGACTGTTCACGGAGCTAGCTGGTAGTGCTACCAAACGCAATTATGACGTCATTAATGGTAGTGTGATACGTCATAACTGCGCGCTATCAACGCTATTCCTTCCGAGGTAGTGTGTTGATAGCGTTAGCGTTTGCGAGCTCCGTGAACAGCAATAGCATAGCGTGGTAGCGCGCTTCTGCTAATAAAAATGGAACAAGATCGTAAATAAACAATATTAACAGCAGTAGCACTTATAATGCAAGAATTAATAGATTCATCTTCTGAGAGTGATGATGGTGAAGAATGAAAAATTATAGAATAGAGTATAAATGTAAGAAAACATGTACCATGTCTCAGCATTAAAAATTAAAATATCGGCATTTCTCACATTTTCCGTTGAATTATCAGATGAATGTTTGTAACAAAATTAGGTGTTATTATTTCCAACTAGTTTAATATTGGACAAAAGATTTATAATTGGACTGGATCTTTTGTCCAGCATTTAACGTGTTGAAAATAATAACACCTAATTTTATTACAAACATTCATCTAAAATTCAACGGAAAATGTGAGAAATGCCGATATTTTAATTTTTAATGTTGATACATGGTACATGTTTTCTTACATTCATACTCTATTCTATTATTTTTAAATCTTTACCATCATCACTGTTAGACGATGAATCTATTAATTCTTGTATTATAAGTGCTACTGCTGTTAATATTGCTTTTTTACGATCTTGTTCCATTTTTATTAGCAGACGCACGCTACCACGCTATGCTATTGCTGTTCACGGAGCTCGCATTCATTAGCGCTATCTTGGCTCCGTGAACGGAGCTAGTAGCGTTAGCGTTGATAGCGCGGTAGCGAGCTGCCCGAACGCACCCTTGGAAAGTACTTTGTGGGTAAATATAAATAACAAAGAGAATAATCGACGAATAATATATGGATGACCAACAAGAATCCAACCGAGTCAGGTTGGGTGATGCGTGTTTTTTGTTTTCACGCATCATATTCTATGATGTCAAAATGAGCTGATTATGATGAACTATTTTGTATTAGAAATATAAGTTCATAGTTAGCTCTTTTTGATTTACTGTTAAAGAACTCAGAAAAGAGCACTTTTAGACAATTTTTTGTAATCATTTTAGCAGATCATAAAGAATTAAAAAAAGAGAATACTTTTTGAACTCTTTCTAAAGATCCTGCTGTCTGGGAATTTAAAAATATAAAAACATAATACATACTTAAAATGTGATCTAAATGTTTCATCATTGTAAGCTGATATAACATTTGTAATGTAAATTTGCAATCGCGGTATTAGTGTTGTTATAGAGCGTGTTTGGTCAGTAACTTTTATATTTTTCTACATTTTTATAATAAGCATTTTGGTCTTCAGTATCATCAAATATTTCAAATAACATTGGTATTGCAAATACTATAATTAATTTTTCATTATCTGATATTTTGATACTGCTTTCATTCTATTACTAAGATTAAAAGGAATGGTTATTATAAGCGTCGCTTTACTTCTCTCAAACCAAAAAGAACAATTGAAATTAGCGCTTATAAGCGTAAGCGCTCACAGCGCATAAGTATCCAAAGGAAACGTAGCCCATGTATAGAGTTTATTGGCCTGGCGAGAAATCGTGTGACCAAAACTACAGTAGCAATTGGTCATTTACGGTCACGTGTTGTTTACCGCTGAAATTGAACGTCAACGTAAAAAGGCACCTTGAGTGATATGTTTTGCACATTTGTAAATAATACGAAATTAGTTGTACAACGATTAATAACGGACAAACTTGCCGTTATTGTGAATTTCAGGCTCTTTCGTACTTCGCTGAACTGTCTATGCAATGGCTATAATAACGGACTTACCCATTGATGTGATTATTATTATTTTATGCGATGAGAGCATCAGCTTTAAGGATATTATGAATTTAGCTTTCTCATTCAACAAATTCTACGTCTTATTAACTGACAATGCACTTTGGCGGAAGAAATTTTATCAGAGGTATTTTTTCACATTGGTTTTTGTGCAAACAAGCTTTATTTATCTTATTCGGGATGCAAGTTTAGTGATAAGCAAATATCTTATTTTATTTGCCTTGAACTAATTTTCTATTTTAGTCAAAATTTGAAATGTATAGTAACATTTGTTTTAAAATTTTCATTTCGGTTACAATAATTTTAGCTGGCTTGTATAATTTTGGAAAATTATATAAAGAAACTGTAAAATGTGTAAAATTATATAAAGGACAATGACATGTATTTTTTGTTTTAATTTTAGATGGCCTCATCTAAGAGAAGAATATGACGAACAACTGTGCCTAGAAAATAAAGATTTTCTTGAACATATAAAAGCAGGTGTAAAATCTAAGAAAGAATTATGGCGTTACTTGTCGCAGATGTCTGAGAAACACTATTACAAAGATGATTTATTTGATGTTGACTTTAGGGATTTCAATTCACTGTTTGATCCAGATAAAGGCGCATATTTCATGAATTATTATTTCTTTGTAAATGAGCTGATAAGGTTGCTTACAGAATCTCCAATGTAAGATTTAACAAATTGTTAATACAGCAGATTATAACGCATTTATTACATATTTAATTCAGAAAATATTAGATTTTAAATATTGTATATAAATGCTTTAGGGAATCCGATTTGACACAAAGATATTACGCAGAGAAGCTTCTTTCATACCTGCAGCATTATCGTTTAAGGAAGAAGGTGCACGAATTTCTAAATTATCCTGAAAAACAACAGATTTTAGAAAAGGCAGCCTTCATTTTAGCACAATGGTATCAACCCCAGAAATATGTGTCTTACTTGTATGTGAGTACGTCACTGGATAAGATTGCACAGCAGGTATTGGAGTGCCTTAAAAATAAATATTCGGCGCATCCAATATGCTCAATATCAGGAGAGCAGCTTTCCTTTTGGGAAAACAATAATATCGATGATAATCATTGGAATAGCATAGAAGGAAGACAGATTATAGAGAGTCTTTGTGAAGTTTTATATGATAAATTAAAATTTCAAGGAAGTTCGTTTTTCGATAATTTCTTTCCGAGATTTATAGAATGCTCTAGTATAGATTGCGTAAGTTATAAGTTATAATACATTGTGAATACTTAATGGTGTCAGAACAATTCTTTGCTTGTTACATCTCAATATTAATATATTTTATTGTAATTTGTGATAGATTTTAAAAGGTAAAGTTGGTAATGCAGTAATTCTGGCAACAATATATCATAGTGTGGCGAGAAGACTTGGTATACGCTGCGATATAATATTCCATAAACGTATTATTAACTACTTCTTATGCTGGAGAGCGAAATAGTATAAGTATAATTTTATTGCTAGCCTAAATTTTCATTCTTATATTTATATGTATACTTTTTTCTCACAGTCATACCACAAATACCAAAGAAAAAGAATGTTTTTGTATTGACTTCATGCGTAATGGACAAATGCCTAGTAGAAATGGCTGTCCTATAATAAATAGTGCAAATTATAATATTGATGAGTATACGAAGGAAAGTCCTGTAGAGGTTAGCAGTTATTTATATTTTATAGCAATAGTTAATGAACTTAATAGATAACAGAAAATCAATTGGAGATGCTAGCTAGATGTGTTATGCCAGTATGGAGCATGTTTTATTAATATGATAATATTAATAACAGAAAAAAAACAGTAAAATAAATTTGCAATCTTAGCTTTGCTTATGTCATAATCTTTACTTCAAGGTGATGTCACATATGAATGCTAATTTGGTTTCAATAATTAGAAACAAAGAAATTATAAAACGGTCGTATCTGGAATTACAGTGTCTAATAAAACCAGATACACGTGCAATTGAAGAACTAGGTGACATATATATACAGCATCAGACGGATTTATCCAGTCTCATAGTTATATTGGAGAAGATTCAGGTATGTAAATAAATGTGTGTATAACATATACACACAAAAAGTTATATATAAAAGGAAATAAATGTAGATAAACAATTTTTTTAATTCATAAAAATTTCTTATTTTTTGTAACATTTGTTTTCTTACACTATGCAGCAAGAAATTAATGTCAGAATGAATATTTGTATAATGTTCATGTAAATTTAAAAAAAATCCAAACATTTCTATTCCATAAACATGTTTATATATAAGTGTACCTTTAAGCAAAAGATATTTTCAAATAATTTTTGTGCTTTTTTATTTCTGCTGGATAATTATAAGGTTACTGACCTTGAGGAGGCAAGATATGCTGCACATTTGTTGAATAAATTTAGGAGCCTTATAAATCCAATTATGGTATGTAATTACTACAAGTTATATATGAAATATTTAATTTACGTAGTAACAAAATTGTTTAAAGTATTTTATTATCTTACAAACAAATTATATAATTCAAAATGGTGAAATAACAGAATTTATTATTTGATATATTTTTGTGAAATAAATGCATGTAAAACAAATAGTGCCAGCCTTTTTAACTCAATAAATTATGATATCTTAAAAGCAAATTTTCCATGTAATCATGGAAAAGAATGTATGCTAATTTCTGACATTAAGTTCCATTTTGCAGCCATTTTGCAACCAAACACCAAAGCAAAGGAGAACAAATATAACATTTGCAGTTGGAATGATCGTAACATTTGATATTTATCTTCCAGTGCGTAAAGATTTTCGGAAGAGTAGGGGTGTGATAATTGGATGGGACGAGAGACGTAAGCAATTTACTATACTAGGACATACATGCGCACCTTTTTTCTGTTCTTTTGTATCTGTTTAATTGTGTTTGTTTAAACACTTGTATCACTTTAAACTTATCAGACAGCTGTTAAAATAAAGCTGTCAAAATACAAACTGTCAAACGCAATCTTCTCTATAACAACTGATCGATAACCGTCACGATGATATCGAAAAAACGCCTTAAAAGTAAATAATATGCCCTTTTTAAGGTAGAGAATACGATGATTTAGTGGAAATCTGTCATTTGTTTTCTTTCCGTGAAATTAATTTAAGACCATATTACATAGTCCTCTGTGAAAATGATGAAAAGTGTTACATCCCCGAAGGTATGAACAGATTATTAGATATATCTTTATAAATTATATTTTTATGTCTTATATATTACTTTTACGAAGCATATTTCTTTGATTTTAGTGTGCTTAACAATGTGCAAAGAATCAGTATGGATTAATCACAAAGATATTGGTCGATATTTTTGTAAATTTGAAAAGTCTTGTTATGTACCAAACAAGATGCTAAAAAAACATTATCCATATGATCAACCAGCTCCGGTCTTTTGTATAACTCATTGACGTTAGGAATGGCAAAAAGGATTTCATTTATTTTATGATCCATATTTGTTAATTAGATATGATTCTTATTATATATATATATAATATATATATAATTATATATATATTATTATCATATTATATATATATATACATATATATATATATATAATAGATAATAGATTATTAGAAAATTACATATGATTCTTATATATATATATATATAAATCAAAAATACAATTCGTATATTTGTAATAGAGAGTGAGTGATATATATTGGAACATTTGTTTAAAATGTATATATACATATACTTATATAAAATATCTAGGAAAATTGCACACACATATAGCGTTTTCGATTATACAGGATTTGAACGACCCAAGATTGGTTAATGACGTCATTGCATCCTCTCCACCAATGAAAGACTTGCATTTATAGTAAAATAGTGATTGATCAACCCTAGATCGTTCAAACCCCGTTTATTCGAAAACGCTAATATACACACGTGCACAAAATTTTTTTATGACAAAGAAACTTATGTATCTTTAATAAATTGTACATTTTATGTATTGAACTAGTCCACTTTCAATTATGTAAAATGCCACATATTTTCAAATTGTAGCTATTTATATGCAATTCATAAAGTAATATGGATAAACTTCCGAAAAGCTATCACCTCCGATTTGGTTGATTTTTAGCCTAAATACTTATTTTATCTAGTAAATAATATTCCCAAATGAATTTTTGGCGCAAATGTCCCCCAGCCCCCCCTCAAAGGTAAAACCATTTTTGTTAATTATTTCTGAAAGTGTTTTTTGTACGGAAAAGTTGCCAAACACAAAATGAAGCTCATAAAAAGCTCTACAAATAAGGTCCTATATATATTTTACCTAACTTCAATATTTTAGTCATTATCAGAAATCTGGAGGCTGTGTGTGCCGCCCCCATACGAAGGACTCCGCCATCAAAAAACTGTACACATAGGGTCTGGATTGAATCTCGCTTTACGTAGAAATTCGTAAATCCATGTGGAACCTCGCTTTGCGTTGCAAAGTGTATGCGTGGTTGCAGTGGGTACCGCTCCTCCTATGGAGACTTTTACAAGTTTTTTGATAATAACGACTAAAATATTGGAGTTAGATAAAATATGTATAAGACCTTATTTGTAGAGCTTTTTATGAGCTTCATTTTTTGTTGGACAACTTTTTTTGTACAATGAATACTTTCTGAAATAATTAACAAAAACGGTTTTTCCTATGAGGGGTCTAGGAGGCGGAGGGAGCATTTACGCCAAAAATCTATTTGGAAATATTATTTACTAGATAAAATAAGTATTTAGGCTGAATGTCAGCCAAATCGGAGGTGATAGCTTTTCGGAAGTCCACCCAGTAATATATGCAGTTTATCATATAAAACATTGAACGTAAGGTAAAAGGATAATTTTTAAATATTAAGTATTAATCAGTAAAAATATAGTTCTAAATTTGTTTATTCAATAATCATAATACATGTAGTTGGTTCTTCTTCCGTTTCTATTTGTCCACCTCCGGAGGGGTGAACCGCTACCATTCAGCCATATTGGTCAGTTCGCGATTTCGATGGATACTATACTATTTCGGTGGTGAAAGGAAAAGAGGGTATGCGAGGGAATTTTAAATGAATAAAAGGTCTATAAGATAATGGATGCTAATGTTTTTATATGATGGTGCAATCTTTTGTCTTAAAAAATAACAATCTAATTTAGTTCACTGATCACTGTGTGTAATGTGTAAATCAGTGTTCCGATTAGGGACCGGTTTGTTTGCGCATGTGCGGCCATACGGTGTCAATGAAGTGTCTCGTACATATAAAAAGAGACCGTTACCCAGCTTCATTTAAAGTAATAAAAATTTTTTTAATGTATTAAAAAATAAAATATATATACATATATATATATGTACAAAATACATTATATATATATAATTTAATTATTTTATAAATTTTAATTATAATAAATAAAAAAGCCTTACCTTATTTCTATTTTCCTAACCTCATCCTGTCAAAAGTCCCGCGTAAAGTCCTGCACACGACGTGTGTCGGCACTGCATTTCCATCGCCGCGCAAGCGCAAAGCCACATATACGCTAAGCAACCGGTCCCTAATCGGAACACTGGTGTAAATGCGCTAGTGTATATGTGTATGTATGACCGCAGTGTGTGAGCTCAGATCCATGGGTTTGCTCAAGATCTATAGAGAGAAGGTTACCTCAGTAAAACCGGTTGAGGGCGAGGGACGATGAAGTAAGGGGGAGCTAGAAACAGCTTGATGGCGAGGAGCGATGAAGGAAGGGGGAAGCTAGAAACAGCGATGGTGAGGGGCGGCGATGAGGGAAGGGGAGAGCATGATGATCTCATCGACAAACAATAGCTGTCTGAGATAGCTTCTGTTTGCCGATGAGATCATCATTGCCCCTCTTGCCGCTCGTCCCTCTCTGCATTTGACCCTCTTGCCGCTCGCCTCTCTCTGCAATTGCCCCTCTTGCCGCTCGTCCCTCTTTGCGCATGTGGTAACCTTCTCTCTATAGATCTTGGGGTTTGCTAAGCCCAAATAACTGTGCGGTTCAGCCATCCTTGCGGATACGTAGATATTTAAATACGATATATATATGTAATCCATAAAATTATAAAATTATTTACGTAGTTATACATTATGGATTCAAAGGTAACAACCATGAAGAAGAGAGACCAGGAGGCCGAACTAGGCTTTCAGAAATGCGACCAAAATCAGGTTTCTGAAGTAATGCTGGTGGTACTCGATAGGCGGCGTTCGAATCGCAAAACTCTTAGGCCGGTATTCATAGTCCGTTCTTATATTCAAGATCGTCTTAGGCTGGCGTCACATAGAACCCGTAATCCGTAATCCGCACCGGAAGTCCGCAAAAGTTACTAGGGATTGCGTCCGTAACGTTACGTATGTTTTTTCTCCTTGTGTCCCATGGAGCCGTAAATACACACGTAACGGTATTACTATTTTTTATTTAACAAATTATAATTGTTTATTTGTATTTTATTCATAAGAAAACTACAGAATATATTATAATTTTAACAAAAATTTTAATTAAATCGTCAAATTTAGTTAAATAAATAAAATTAAAAAAAGCATTACTAGTAATAACTAGTAACTTTTAGTAACTTTTACGGAAATTTCATGGAATTACGGCTCCATGGGACACAAGGAGATAAAACACACGTAACGTTACGGACGCAATCCCTAGTAACTTTTGCGGACTTTCGGTGCGGATTACGGATTACGGGTTCTATGTGACGCCGGCCTTAAACACGAACTTATATTCGCTCTCTTCGTCAGACACAATCTATGTGTGACGAAGAGAGCGAATATAAGTCTGTGCTTAAGACGATTTTGAATATAAAAACGGACTATGAATACCGCCCTTACATATGCATATACGCTTGCGTATACATACACAAGAACAAAAGATGTAAAGAATAGAGAGGTAAAACTGTGAGGACGGTGTCGTGGAATGCAAGCGACATCTCGATTAGCATTTTGAACTAATTCAGATGACCACTTTTGAGCTCATAATCTGACGCCATCGCCTATTAAGTTCGGCCTCCTGGTCTCTAATCTTCATGGCAACAACCAATGATTTTTCGTGCAGTAAACAGAGCGCTCAGTAAACGATCAGTAATTATTATTTGTGTTTGAAGTATTTTATTAGATCTTTCACACGGATTAAAGCCTTGTGTTCACGATGCTAGAACTCAATCCGAGATCTCGGTCCGAGTCCTCGAACAATAATATTTACACTTGGCTGAATATAGTTAGCGTTGTAATCGAGTTACGATTCTTTACGATGATTTTCTGATCTATGTTATATTGTCAAGTTGGTTTATAGATATCATCAAGTGATGCACCGCTTGATTTCGAATGTTTTATTTTATTTAGATGGTCCAGATATTGCGATCTTAAATTATTAATTTTTTTTTTGCAATTTCAGTTGTTAGTGGTTGTCCTGTTAATTCTTTGTACTAATTACAGATTATCTGTAAAGCTTGATCTCGTTTCATACGATTATAATAATCAACACTTTTTGTAACATATAAACAAGAATGTTGTTGATATAACATTAATAAAATTTTAACATTTTCTTTATTATCCATTTTTATTATAAAAAAGTTTTTTCTGAAAATCAATTTTATATATTATTATACTTTTCTTGAAAAATAATATGTATATATAGGTTATAATATATTTTTAATGTCTAATTTAATCTGCATTAAAACTAATAATAACTACTTATGTAAATCTTATTAATTATTAATCTTATTAATTTATTTTATTTAAGAATTATATTTCTCTTATTTTTTCAATTCTATAATTACTTACTAAAATATTATTTATATTGTTCACAGTATCTCGTATCACTATAAGAATCTTATATTTTGTCTTGACAGATAGTAAAAGAAACTAGTAAAATCTAATAACTCTCGCAATAACTTGTACCGAAAAATGGGACACAACGCATTTTTTCGTTTGAGCTTCTTATTCGAGTTTTGTATCCAAATTCAGTGTGTACATGATCCGAGTTCTAGTAACTTTCCCTCAGTCCAAGATCTCGGACCGAGTTCTAGTAGAGCACTAAAGATGTAGGTATTCTACCGTCTGCTCTGGTCTCCGCCATTTCTGTTCCGTTCCCCCACTCCTTGCCATCACGCCTCTGTCACTGAGCTGACAAGTTTATGATAATTAGGTTATGGTTTCTAAGCTGCTCGAACTCTGTGTTTACGTGTATTTTGATTATCCGAATGTGAACAAAAAGAGAGTCTTGGACACCAACCAAATCATCGTGCCTCTGTGAAGTAAGTTTATTCTCTTAAATTTCTAATTTACGTACTTTTTCTGTTTGTTTAGAATCATGGATCGTTTTTTAAGTGTAGTTTAGATTTGTCATCGTTTGAAATGACATAAATATGAATAACTGTAATCTCAATAAGGACATTTATCTTATAAGCAGTT